TACACCCCCCCCCCCCCTATTTCCCCCTCTCTCTCTTTAAATAAGCTTCACATTTTTCCCCAAATTCTAATAATCCCAAACTTTCCTAATGGCCTATTTATAGGCATTTATCCCCAGTGGCACAATTATAATATTGGGGAAATTTTGGAGGAACACAAATTTTCTCCCGCTCGAAGAATGTGACAATTTGTATGATTAAACCGAGTTACTCGTGTTTAATTCAATTCAAACTCGACTCGAATAAAACTCAATTCAAAATCAACTCAGATAGAACTCAATTTGAACTCGGCTTATGTTCTAAACAAACCAAATTTGAATATTTTTTAAAAGTCATTTAACCCAAGCGGCCAAACCCTCTATGTTGTGCGCCACAATTGATGAGTCGATGAATCTTTCTTTGAATTCAACTGAGCAGCTAGCTTTTGTTCTCCCAACCACCGACTCAAAAAGCTTATCTGTTGGTAGTGGCTGGTTTCAGCAACTAGGATAAGACTAGGGGTATAATAAAAGTTATAAAACTAACTCAAGTTAAATTAAAACTCAATAAGATAAAGTTACGACAAAAGAAATTCCAACCGATCATAAAACAACTAGATCAAATTTGAAAAACTAAGATCAGTCCCAAACAAATCTATTTCGTAATAAACTCACTAGATTGAGTTATATAACTCACCCTTTTCTTGTAGTAACTTTCAAGACGACACCCAAAAATATCTTTTCAACGTGATAGTCTTACATTAGCAACTATAATGCGGCCTATAGCGACACAAACATAAATGATAAATGCCAACTTGGTCCAAGTGGTTAATAATACTGACTTCAGTCCACCATTTTATAAATTTGGAACATCACTAATTCAAAGCAGGAGTGCATCATCATTAAGTGCAACACAGGACACACGCCAACTTAATCCCATTAGGTTGGTTACTCAGTACAATATTAATATGCTCATTAATGATAGCTTCACAAACTAGCAACAAACATAACCTTCAAGAGCCATTCATACAAATGCCCATTAATCACCTCCCACTTGTCTCTTCCATGAGTCTTCCACAATCAATTCATCAACCCCCCAGTCTTCATAACTGAGAATTTTGCAAAAATGAATCAGTAAAATATATTCATTTTTGGAAGAAGGCATAAAGAAGAGAGATATTGGCATGGGTAGGTGGGTGGCTGGGCAGAGGTGGCCAGGGTGGGAGGGGAAGGAAGCACCAAATAAGTTCTTCATTCCTTTACCCCCTCATTTCAATAAGCAGAATTGCAATTAAATAGCGCCCACAAAAATAGATGCACATTCCATTAGGATAGCATCGAATAACTTTGAAAGTATTTACTGCAAATCTTACCTCCCATCAGGTAGGTATCGGCGAATGGTGAAGGGTATCTTCCGCTGTCGGAGCTCCTTCATAGCAATCTAAAACGAATAGATGAGAAAAACGTGATAAAGAGCAATCGAAATGTGAAAAAAGAGCAGCAGTAACTATTCTCCACTTCTCAATTACAAAAATAAAATAAAAACATAATTGCTAGTTACATAGTACTATTTACTAACTTCACTAGAGATTTGTTGATTTTAACTTTTAAGGATGGCATCAAGATCATGAACCTCTAGTTTCTTTCTTCTTTCTGTCAAATTTACAGAAATAATTTATTCTCTTCCAATACTTCAAAGATAGTACTGAGCAGTGTCTATCCTGTGCATGCATCATGATATATTTGATGCATGGGTGACAAGATTAGAAATTGGGAATTAATATTTGACTCAAACCAGAAGTATTGCAAAGTTAGCATCAGGGCTCCATAAGCAGATTAATAATGATGGCAAATAGGACAAGAAAAACTGCTGGATTCTTCTTAAACAATGCTCTAACAAAGCGTACCTCAAGTGGATCAGTTTCACCCTCCAACTCAACCATAACAGGTGCATTCATGCTGTCAAATTAAGGAAAAGCGTTAAACACATCCTCAACTGTGGTAATTCAACTTCCCAAATTCCAAAACTAAAAAATTCAAATAACAAAAACATTACCTAATCTGCAGGGCACGAGTACCCAAAATTCTTGCTCGCTCATATTTTGTCATGTATTTTGATGTCTTCCGAGGTCGTTCTCCTGGTGCTCGTTCCTGTTTTTCTTCACCATCAGCTAAAAGGGGATCAGGAATGTCCTCAGGGTTATTGTTATCTCCTTCTACTTCCTCCTCTGCCCCTTCCTGTGAAATATTCCAATAGTATCTAAAATAATCTACTCACACACCAATAACAAACTACACTAGATACATTAAAAAATGATTACAGTTAAAACCTCTACCTCAATCTCAGGCTCAACAGGCTCATCCTCGTATCTGGACAAAGTAAGGAAAATTACAAATTCTTTGGCATCAAAATGTAGTTATTCTTCACAAAATAGGTTGTTTGCCAAAAGGTATGCTCTAGGAGCATCAAATGTATACGTTTTCTAGGGTTTAGCATGTTACACGCTTAATGGCAATGCATACCATTGGTTTATTGGAGCAATAAAATATGTAAATGAATGATTAGTTGCAAGATCAAGAAAGGTAGAGGAGATATGCATGCCCCCATTAATTTCACAGGGCTTATTCTGAACAAAATATAGAAAAAAGTCACTTCAGGTTCAGAGAATTATACTATTAAGTACCTAAATATTTGGATGCAAACAAAGACTATTTGAAGTTTTTGATACCTATTTCCTTTAAATGAAAGAAGACATCCCCTTGAAAAGAGACCTTATAATCCACCAAAATTCAACCCTCCATCATCATATCATTAATTGTAAAATTAATCCTTAAAAAAGGTAGTGCAATCATTCTCATTGAGCCTTTCAAGTTTGGTTCAATAGTTAATGACACCTTCCCGACACAAACAAAAGAAAACCTCCAGTACAAATCAAAGAGGTAATACACACTAAATTAAATAAAAAAATATATGAGCTTTCTAACTCAGTTATTCAAAAACATAGTCTTCTCCAAGGTACAAAGAATTCGATTTGAATTACTTCTAAAAAGAATAATTGATCCCTTTTATGCCAATAAGTTTTTAAACTTGGCAGGGTCTCAATAAAACCATCTGAAACCCAAAGCTTTAAACAGTTAAACTAGTACAAGTTAACCTCTTGTAACTCTAAAATCATCTCCATTTGCTTTATAAAAGAATACGTACACACACACACACACACACACACACACACACAAGTAACTGAAGATACCAAGTGAGGCTTGCTATACCAATTAAATAAAAAAATGAACTAAAATTTACAAGATGAAATTACAATCAGGTTCCGTTAATTGAAAGCAAAAACCAAAAAAATTCAAACAAGCGAATATGATCGGCGTAATTTCCATTCGGTAATCCTAAAACATAATTATTCCCAGAGTTAATCAAAATATTCAGAAGGGCATAATACAAAATTACATGATCAACTTTGAACAAAATGAGAAACCAACACCAAAACCCTAATTCGAGGTCTGTGCATAGATATATATATATATATACAGAGATAGACAGAGAGAGAGAAATAGGAGATTACGTACCCTCCGTCCATCTCGAAGTCTTCGTCGGCCATTGTTGCAGAGCTGGAAAAAGTTCTCCCTCGGCCTCTGTTCTTGCTTACAAACCCCAACTGGAGCGAGCCTGAAAAGTGAAATAGACCCCGTTTTCTTTTTTTCTCTTCGAACTATTATAGTTCTTACCCGACCCCGAAAGATACCCCGCCCGCGTTTTGGAAACGGTTTCATTTGCCTAGCCCAATATCCAGCTATAATCGGGTTTTAACCATCATGTCCATTTAGAAACCCATTTTATACCTATTAAAAAAAAGGAAAAAAATTGAGGCTCATAAGTCATAATGTAATTAACCCAAATTTAATCATTAAGTGTAATTTAAATAGTAACAGAGATAAATTATAAATTCAGTGAAGAAGAATTAATTGAGGTGCGCTCTTTTAATCTACTAATTCCAAGAAAAATGTTATGTTGTCTAAATTAAAACTCAAATCTTCTATAACAAATATACGCGCACTACACATTAAATGAAAAAATTAATTTTTTGGGGACCCACAAAATGATATGTATGGGTGCACATATATTTGGAATGGAAAATTTGGTTTATAATTTGGACAGTATTGCAGTGTTCTAAATCCAAATAATATACTTTTAAAGTGATAAAAACAAGTCTAAGTGTTCTTTTTTTCAGACTAATGTTATATGGACTTAAAAATTAGATTTGATAATTATAATTATTGAATAGATAGTGGGTTCCAGTATTTTTATTGTGACCCACAGTGAAATTAATGATTGTAATTATCAAGTCTAATTTTTAAATTTATAATAATATTACTCTTTTTTCATATTCTAATTAAATGTTTTTAGGAAGAGAGAGTAGAGGGCAAGAGACGTATGAGAGAGGAGAGAGAATATTTTTTATGAGTAATATTATTTAGACCTAAAAATTTGACCTAATTTACTGATATAATGATGTGATTTCATAAAAATTATTGAATCAATAACAAATTACAATGTTTGATGTGGCCTACAGTTAATCTAAGGTCACAATAACAAATTGTGTCCAACTAACATTGCTCATTTTTTATATAGGAAAGTAAATTTCATACAATAATGATACAATTTTAATTTATTGAGTCATTTTTCTAAAGACTTCTCTTTCATTATTAGTAACATAAAAAAAATATGAAGAAAAATGTTATTTGAATTTAATTTGGAGATCTCATCTCGAAATCTAATTCAAAGTAACCATTAGACTGGAAGTCATTTTCACATGTCACAATTAATTTAATAGCTGCATTAAATTAGGTCTTCNTACCTTAATGACAACCCAATCTAGTTGACTGGAGATTCCAAGATCTAGGTTCAAAGGGACAACCGAATTATACGTGATTCAAAAGAAGCACTATAGAGATAATCTCTCCTACATATTCCTATGATAAACTAGTGCTGCCTGAAGAGATTATTAGGGTAAGCTATGCTTTTAATGACTCTTATACCTTAGAAAATTTAAGTGGGATATTGCAGGATATTCCTAATGGGAGTCACCTATATGGATGTGAAGGGGCCGCTTTTGTGAGAATTTTTAAAGGCTGAATTCTCTAAAGTATTTATGAAAATCAGGAGTTGTTCAAGGCCAAAATGAACACAATCATGAGAACCAATTGTGTTAGGAAAGAGACTATGTGAAGCCTATTCGATTTGATTTANCATGATGTGTCGCGCTCATACTATTTGCCTATTGTAAATGGAAAATCATGTTCTACTCGAGTTGGACTCAAATTAGTACAAAGCATAATTGTTCTATCTTTAATCGAATCAAAGAAATAATTAATTAAAACATGCGTAACTTAGTCCAGACATCTCTAAACATTAAACTGAAAAATAATTAGTACAAGACGGACTCAAATTGTGTTCGGATTAACCTGTCTACAAAATGCAAGCTCGTCGCCGCTGGAGGGCGTAGCACCAACATATTTTTACTTCACATGTAGAGATATTAAGCCCAAGGTGATTTGAGTATAGCATCAAGCTTTTACNTGATGGGCTTTCATTAGGGAAGGTTCAAGGGCAAAAGCTATCTATGTCGATGCACGATCTTTTTAAAGATGTACTCTCTATAGTGTGTCAGTATTATCATTTGCATACTAACAACCAATTTTTCATTCATGTGGGAGATTGTTACACCAAAAGTGTGTACAAAAATAGAGTTTTAGGTTAATTTTGAGCCTAAATTAAAGTGGGACCCATTAATTATTTTGAATAAATTTTCGTGAGTTCATATTCTACTCAGTGAGGAGTATAACGTGGAATATTCATTTGCTCAAATCGAGTAAGAAATGAATGAGAAAATAAGCTACAAAGTGACCCTCTTGAAAAGTAAAAATAAATGATGTGCAATGTGGGATTTGACATCAATCCCACATTGGTTGAGTAAGAAATTCAACATGGGCATATATAGCTCAAGTTTGCTCTATGGGTTGGGCCCCAAGGGGTACCATAATTTTATGAGCGGAGCGAGTACCTACATGTTGTTGNAGTACATAAGTACCTTTATGTGTAAATGTTTGGTGAAGAGCTACATTTTTGCGGAGTTGTAATTTTTTTTCTTACGAAATTGTCATTTTCCTTTATTAGTGGGAGACAAATATGACAGTTATATTAAAGATTCANTTAGACCAAACCCTATCTTTTTGGAAAAATTTCATTTAATTAATTAAACATGAATTTCTTAACCCGAAATTAATTTCGATATCCATTAGATAATTTGGATTTGCTCCAGTCCGAACCAGTTCGAAATTTTCAAGATGTGACTGTTCCTGAAGAACAGTTATTCAAGGTGTCCGCTGGCTGGGTTGATTTTTGTTTCTAGGTTGTGTCCTTTAGTGAGGTGCCTGTCCGGACAGTCACCAGACTATCTATAAATACCCAGTGCATGCATTCATTTTGTTCATTCAATTTATCAGTTTATTAAGGCATTAAACAGTTTGCATTATGACATTTAAGATAGTAAGTTTAGAGAGTACACGACACAAGTTTTGGTTTGCTGTACGAACAGATTGAAGTGCTGCTTCTGTTCGTGGAAGATCATTGTATCCTAGGAGGCAGACGCTCGGATTCCATAAGCACCGTGTGTAGGGGCGAAATTTGTCTTAAGGATATAGTGTCAAACACTAGTCTTGATCTACAACGAGTTCAATAATAGTTCTTATTCTGTAATCGAGTTAGTTTTTATATTAATTTGGCATAGAATTACGTGCATCTGTTTGTTGTAACTCTTTCGTGTTTCATAAGCCTATTGTAATTTTTTCAATACTGTGTAACTGTTTACTGTAACTGTTTTGATTTGTGTTATGATTCTACAGTTCACATTTACTGTTTGTTTTATTTTAAGTTACATGATATCAGAAATATCAATAAGTGATTTTATAATTTTGGAACACCACAAACAACAATTATTTATTATAGGTGAACTCTATTATGAATTTTCGGCCATATTTTTTATAGAACCCTCTTATCTCTTCTTTCTCCAAGTTCAAATTAAGGAAAAAAAATCAATATAAAAGTAGAAGTAACAACTGATTTTATTACGAAACAACTCATAATGTTTATGTGGATCATCTAGCATTGGATATATTTCTTACAATAACTATCCTAGCTCTATCTTATCTTTTGTTTCATTTCTTCTAAAACAACCACAAACACTTTTTTAATTATGAATCTACTATAAAAAATTCTATGCATAATCTCATTGAATATGCGTATTATTGAATATTCTCATTTTTTAGTTATTCAACTATTTTATTTTATCTAGTTCAATGATGGTCAAATTAATCAATATTTATATTTTTTATTCAAAACTTAATCAGCATTAAGTATCAACATAGGTGTTGTGTTTCATTGTTGGGTCAAATATAGCATTAAATAGCTGTGGTATTGGGTATCATAGGATACCTGCAGACTATGGCCAGAGTATAGATTTCAAGTACACTCAATCAGTCATTGTCGTCTTCAAATAGTAACTATTAGTTTGGATAATTATTGGAGTAATATTATTGCTCTTAAAAATGTCTCTGTCTGTCACCATCATATATAATTAGCTGCCAAAGGAAAGAAAAAAGCATCCAAATTAGCTTAGCTTTCAACTCGCACCCCCAAAAAACCGGTGAGAGCAAACGGAGGGAATTGACTTTCATTCTCGGGACCGTCTACTCTACAACGGGGGATTGCTTGAAGATGTGCGCAACATAAACTAACCCTTAGAAAAACACTGATGAAAAGTCGGGATAGAGACGTGGAGTAATAAGTTAAGGATTTCCTTTACTAAAAAACAGAGTTTAAACTCGAACCACCACAATCTAAATTCCAACTATCTCTTAAACTCTCGTACACCCCCCCCCCCCCCCC